TTGTTTGTTTTTTCATTTGAGGTCTTTATATTTGCACTCATGTCGCACTTTGTTTCAAAAGAAGCGTGTGTTTTGACAGCTTTACATTTCAGCGAGTTTCATAATAACCCCTTCCTCTCCTTTTAAAGAAATACCCACACACACACACCTTTTTTGCATTGCTTCCAGGTGAACTGAACCTTGTCTTACAGTTAAATGAAGGCACTCCTCCTTCGCTTGATTTGGTGCATTAACTTTCGGAAGTTAAAGTTGCTTTTTGACCTGCTTACTAAGACCCCTAAAGGCAGACAGGCTGGGCTCCAATTATCTTTGTGTGTAGGCAGTATTTATGAAAGCTAAGGTAAAAAAAATGCATTATTAAAGGCGTGTGTTTGACTTACATTTAGTTCATAGGATGGCTTTTTCCTCCCAGCAGCTGATGTTCCCGGCTAAAAAACTGCAGATGGTTTATGTCACACATTTCACTGAAAGAAAGGGTTTGGATCACTTTCGACCTTGCAAAAGCAAGCCAAGCACCTTTGTTCCAAATACGACGCAAAAATCCATTCAACACAATCTGAGACGTAGAAGAAAGGCTTGACAGAAATCAAATCAATGGCACAAAAATGTACAATACTCACCGGAAATCACAGGTAAAAAGGGACACTTAATGGACCTAGAAAATAACTGACCCTGCATGAAGAAAGGACTTTTACATACTACTATATATAAGTTCAGAACATGTCAGGGCTGTGAAGATAAAAGATCTCTCCAAGCCCATTGTTTCTCATTTCACCTCTGACGGACGTGACCACTCTAATCTCTCCGCTGTGTCCTCAAAGACGGTTTTCCGAACTCATACATCAGAAAGCCTACCGAAACCAAACTTATCCTGCAGATAGGATCACACATTCCCCCTTCTCTTAACGACAGAATACTCTTCTTTTAAATTTTCTCCATTCATTGGAAGTTTCATTTCACACCTCCCTACACCTATCCTGACTTCACACCTCTTGATTGGCCTCTCTTTCTGTCCCCTGCTCCCACCTCTCACTCCTCCTCTCTCCCAGCCTTTGTTCTCCCACTACTTTACCTTTGCCTACTGCCTTGTCTCTCTCACACCTGAAGAAGGCTCCACGGCCAAAACGTTGTGTTTTCTTTCTTCTTTTTTTCAGCATGGAATAAACCTATTACTTGTTCCTTTGCAGCCTACTATATATAATGTATGTAAAAGTGTCAATTTGGAATAATTCTGTTGTGACATACAGTATAAAAAAGAAGCAAGTTACCTGAAAGCTTATAAACATCTAAGATTATCTTTAAGGTACAATGGGGAATTATCTTTCCTCCACTCATCAATTCACCACATTTTTTAGCTTCAAAGCATAGCGAAATAGGAAACATTACCTTTCTGCTTGGTCATTTCACCATTCCAGAGTTTGGAACTACTGTAAGAGTCAGTACATTGACATATAACTCTAAAACACACTAAGAGCTACTAGTTTCTGTCATGTGTGCCTCAGACTCAGACATGGCAGTGCAATCAGCCTATACACTCAGTGGCTGGACAGTGTGTCTTATGGGAAATCGCTTTTCTTGCACTGACTAAATTTAAAGTACGTGTAGGCAGCTGAATCTGTGTAGTTTTATAAGCTGGTACTTGTGTTCTACACTCAGAACGTAAACATTGTCCATCACCTCTTTGCTAAGGCAACAGGCAGAGTTTGAGGCTGCCGCCTTTTTTCAATGACAAGATGATTCATTACTGTAATTTCAAACGGACTACCAGGAAAATTAAAAGAAGCAGCAGGATTCATGAGGTACACTAGTTCAACACCATTAACCATATTCAAGAAGCAGGACTAGTAATTTAGCTTTCCAATGAGTGTGATTTGCCAGAACAGGTATGATTAATATTTTATAAGAAAGGTTTTGATTACATTTGCATACCGTTTGTTTGGGATATGATAAGGAGTCAGGGCTTTGCAAAGAACTGGCCAGCAGCCTAATCAGCATCATTCACCTAAAGCTGATATTGTCAGTGCACTAGAACAGCGAGGGGAACAGTATAAAGAAATGTTCCCTCCAAGAGGATCATTAAAGCTCTTTTCACCCAGAAAAAAATGTCTGAAGATGTGGCAGATGCTTTCAAGTCAAATTATGGGGGGAAAATTGGGCTGAAATTTTAACAGAATGTACTCCTTCTTTGTATGTGCTTGCAGTAAACCCAGAAAAAACTATAACTCTAACAAAGATTAGGATGCAGACTGTAACAAACCTTTGATTTTGAATACTATAGGTGTTCAGCATTATTCAAGAAAACTGAAGTAAATCAAATATGGTTTGGAAGTGTGTCCAAAGAAAATAAGAACAGCAAATAGGGCATGAAAGTTCTTTTGCATATTAAGTAAATCATGTATGAGTCTATTAGGTAAAATGCATTTTTGTACAATATTTGGGAACCCTTGATGTAGACTTTTATTAAAATGAATGTAAAATAGCCTAACAAATGTCAAATATGCTAAATGTTGGACTTTATGTGAAGTAAGCAGGTATTGCTTTTGAAGGAGCTGTGTAAAATACATTCAGTGCTTTTAATTTCTTGAAACTCATGTCACCATAACCTAAAACCAATGAACAATAAAACAGATTTACATAAATCAAAGCAGTAGGGTAGAAATAATTAAAACAGAGACTGTAAGGCAGGTTTTAAAAGTGCTTGGAACAACAGCACAGACAGGATGGTCTTCTAGTGTTCAGACCTTCATATTGGTAACTGAACAAAGACCAGAATCAGAAGAAAAAAAACAAGTTATAGGTACTGAATGTACTGAATATACACTACACTGTTATTTCACTCATGTAGTCAGGTGGCAAACTGTTCGCATCTTAAAAAAGGACAGTATTTTGTCATTATACAGTAATTTATTAGCTATTTATTTGCTATTTATTTTTTAAGTAATACGTTTTATAAGTTGCTGTTTCCTGGATGTTCACAGCATGATATGTTGTAGTTTATATTCGTCTGACTCTTCACTGGTTTGAAATGGGTGGGAATTTCCAGAGGTTACAAAAACAGAGATTTGACTGAGTTAGAACTTCCCATGAAACTACAGAAAATTGCATACAGGCAGACACATTGCACAGTAAACATTTTTACACACTGGGCAGTCCATTAATTGTACCATTAAGAGAGCCAACCTCAAATAAGCTGTAGTGCTACTCAAGGAGAAGACAAAGAATGATTATTGGAGCAAGATCTGTAAAGAACTCAAATGTAAATTGGAAATGTTTTCCGGGGCTTCTTATGTTGTTATATTTATGTATGACTTTTCTGAAAATCTGGAGGAGGTCAGGTCCGTTTAAGGTATGTGTTTTTGGTGTTTTCTTCATGTCATGATATACAGTCATTGGAATGAAGTTTGAACTCCTGTAAGGTTTTGTGTCATTGAGGGGTGTGGGAATCATCGCAGGGAAATGTTTTTGATGTGTTATCTTGGTTGTTTTAGTTTTCTGTTCAGGACGTGGTCTCCAAGGAAATTTTGACACTTCTTCTGAGTTCCGCTTCTGCTGTTAGAAAAGTGTGTGCAAATGTTTGGTTGCGTGCAGATGCTGAAAACATTTTTGAGCCTGCAATCAGTGGTGTTGCAGGGCGTTTTTTTATTCCTGCAGTGTTGCAGCAGTAATTAAAGTGAAGTACCAAAAATGTTGCTTTGTCCTGTTTGAAGCGGTGCACAATCATTTAACATACTGTACATCATGTTTAAATAATCATGAACTCTTTTAAGAATATATATATTCCCGGGAGGCAGTACACATTTGTGCAGTATTACAGTGCAAAGGAAGTGTTGTTGAAATAAAATCAATAAAGAAAATAGATTACTCAGTCTTTCCTAGTGTCATCCATTTTTGAAAAAGTGTTTTTTTTGGTAAATAGCCTCAGAGAGACCATTGAGCACGATAGTTTCCATTTCCAATTTATCATTTATTTGCTGTGCATGAATGATTATGAACTTGGTCGCATGACTCAATGGGAGTGATTCCAAGACCCATTATGAATGATTCACATGTGCATTTATTATATAGTAATTTATACTGTTTTACCTGTTTTTTTTGGTATACAAGAACAGCATATGAGCTACTGGAGATATCTGAGGGCTAGTTAACTAAATTGTTAAAGCCAACCTTGGAGAGTGGTGTATTTGTTTTCAAGCATCACAAGTGTGCAAGCATTTTCAACATTCACAAATCTCCCTTTGACCACCCTAGCATTAATTGCATAATTATGTAAAAAAAACACATGTACTAATCTCTGACACACTCTTTGAATGTTTACCACATTATTTGTTGTGCACAGGCCACGTCAACTATAGCTTGTTTTAATATAAGAAAGGGCTTTGAATGTACAGTACATGTCAAACTAATTAATAAATGAATTATGGATCGAATTAATTAAAGAGCGGTATGGGGGAGGGTTATGAGGAAGATGTAAGTATGTTATCACATAATCGATAATACCAACTTCCTGTACAACCATACAGAAGCTGAAGTTTACACACATCAGAACACACACTGACACTTATGACTCTTATCATTATTTTTGCAGTACTGTCATAATACAAGCCTACACTGTCACAATAAGTGACAGTATTATATCATTATAGTATGTATAAACGTATAGTATGTATAAACGTATGTATATCATTTACATGATATTACATTGCACATTATATTGTGCAGTACATTAATAAAACAGTAATTCAGGCAAAGAGTTTTTCCAAAAAATTAATGCAATAAGGAATTTCACATATCTTAATTTCTACCGTTGGGTTGCTCTTCACACGGTCATGACTAAAAGATTAACACAGCAAGCACACAGCAGACATTGCACGCATGAGAGAAGCAATGGAAGACAAGCAAGGACAAGACTACAGCCGCACACGTAATGTCATAGGGTTGTACAGATCTTGAGATAGAACTAGGTAAAGATTATTCAAAACCGTATCTCTTGTCTATTGCAGATATTTGCAGTAACTGAGTATATCAGAAGAGGGCTGTGACGGAGGATGGATAGAACATCTTCTGTTACAGGATGATAAAGGATGATTTTGTGTTGGCTTATGGAGAAAATGCAAGTAAGTGGAGCGTTCCCGTTAGTAAAAGGCAGGAGAATAAAGCTTTAACTGTAACTAATTTAAAAGTAATTATTTTGGCAGCTGTGCTAAAAAGCTTTCTGAAAGTAGAATCAGCACCATGGGGCGGCTGTGAGTTTACTTGCTCTGATGTAAAGTTCTAGAAGTGAATGATTTTCTTTAAAAGTTGTTTGCAGTGATAAATATCAGGACTGATCATTTTCCATTTGGGTTCATGCAATGGCTGAGAAAGTGTCGCTTCCAAATTACATACTGTACATATCAGGTTGCGTAAAGACTTGAAGGAATGTAACTTTTATGTAAGTCGGGGAATGGGTGTAAGGCCGTATAGTAATGAAAAAAGGGAAATGTGTTTTAATGCTTTATTCTATTTTTCTTTTCGTTTCATTGAGTTTTATTTTGCAATTTCCGTAGTTGTGACCTCTTCCCATTGGAACTTAAAAGTGAGCTGACACTACCGGGCAGCTTAATTCTGTTTCATGAGTGCTTGGCTTTCGAGTAGGTATTGCATACATTTAAAGGATGATGACAGAATCGGAAAAAACGCTATTGAGTTTTCAGAATAACGTTTTTTGTTCAGAGAATAAAGCCTTAGTAAGATGTTACTGTCAGAGTTGCTTGTACATTGTACTGCCACTGTCTTTAGTCAGCAGGCAGAGAAAGTGGCTAGCAGCATGCAATGTGTTTCATTGGTAAAGGATATTGTTGCAGTATTTAGTTGTACAGGGAAAATGCCCTTTCAAGCACACGCAGATGAAAATTTTAATTTCTTCCAATCAGCACTGTAAGAGCTCAGTTGGCTCAGACAAGATGGCTGCCCTGTCTGAACTACATTTCCCAGAATCCTTTGGAGGAATAAGCTACTACTTTGTCACCTGACCTGTTGCTGTAGGACAACTGATCAGGTGATACTTTAAAAAGCAGGAAGCAGGTGCTTTCTGGATTGGTGTTTATCTGCTGTCTATTGGCTAGAAGGCATATCCTTTATGTGCTCCATTCACCAGAGGTAGAATTACCAACCAAGTCATGGTGTAACTGTGGACCAAGGAACATTTGGAAGTTCTCTTGTGAAGAGTGCCTAGAGGTCATTTGTGAAGACTGAAATACTGTTTTTAAGCTAGTAAGTAGCTGTGTAGCCCAGCCATGATAGTTAGGGACTTGAAGAAGTCAATCAGGAGCTCAAAAAGGAGCTATGTGTTTGGTTAATTTGTTTTTCATGTTTTGCTTGGTTTTCCTTCATTTCTCTCTCTGTGATTAAAGAGCTCTGTTATTTAACCTTACAGCTGTTTATGAGTGTGTCTGTTGTCCAACCCATTTTTAAGAATGCATTAGGGCATGCCTAGTGGGGTTTCAAAGCACATAAACATGCTGGTGACATACCTCAGCCAAGGAACTGACTGCAGCAAACATCTTACAACTTAAATTATCAACAAAGTACTGAATCTGATATGAAATGAGTTGTTAAAGATGTTTGACATTGTAACATTGTTACTATATGGCAATGAAAGCCAGTGGGTTTTTTTAACTAACATCAACAACAATCAAGAAGGAAGCACAAAAGACTGGAGATCAAGCATGTCAGACTTGCTTGTTGCAACAGGTACTACGTGTTTAGAACTTCAATGTCTGTTGGGGTAATTAATGCTACTGCATCAGCCCTCCCAAAAAGATCACCAGCTCTAAACTTTGCAAAGCTGTGTAAATCTCATGGTTGGTGTCTTCACCTTTTCTGCTCCGCTAAATGGTGTCTACTTGCATCATCCCTAAGATCATTTCCTTCCAACAATGCTACTACACTCAAGATGTTCCTGGAACGTGGCAGGACAGATTACACTCTGACCTGGGCAAAACATGTACATCCATGTCAGTCGGCAACTCCTTTTACTTGTTTAGGAATATTGAGAATCAGTTACTATGAGCTGACATAAGAGCAGCCTGTATTTTCAAGTAGCACAGAGAATGATTTCTGTTTCAAGATGAAATAATATGGAGAATGCAGTCTTGGTGATGGTGAAAGAAGTTTGTGTTGAAGCACAAAAGTTGAATCTTGACACAAAAAGATCAAATAAAAAACTCATGAGTTTTTAATCACAGTGCATTGAAAGTTGTATTAGGTTGTTGATCACTTCACAGTTTTAGTATAAATGTTAGATTTTAATCTGTTATTCGAGAGAATGTGTCACAATTAACAATTTGCAATTGATTTTCATGTCAATTTTGGGGGACTGAGAATTAAGTTGTTACAGCTGAGCAAACCAATTTTTAACGAAATGTACATGCTAAAGGTGTAGAGAGATTAAAACACTACAAAAATATGTTCTGGGATAAGCAGTAGCTAAGAAGAACAATATTCCAGTCACTGATGTTTAATTTAGATGTTGCATTTGTAACAACAAAGGAAATGAAGATTTATGCAATATACTGTAATGCAAAAGTGTAATGATCATTCTTACCATGCACATGTAATTTTGCAATGCAGAGTTTCCATTCTGCAGCCACAGGAGACTTATCTCTTTGGTCATCATTGGAACAGACAAGACTACCATGTTGCAGTCATTAATTCATTAGGACATTGTGGAAAAACAAGATGTGGTTCGAGCTGCTGACAGTTTCATCTGGAGAGCCACAGTGGGACCTAATTTCTTTACAATGCGACAGCAGTGAAGACGGTCTGAAGACAAATCCCTATCACACATTTTCTTTTTTAATGTAATCCAATACTGAGTTCAAAAGCACCAGCAAGGAAGGATCAGCACCTCTTCCACCAGCTGTTTCAGTTGACCCTTAAACCAAGTTGTTTAAAAAATGTACTCTTATATAGCTATGTAACACCTATAACCCTTGAAGCCTATTTTCTTATGCAAGATATTTTGGTAATCTGGAACACCTGTTTTATGTGTGCATAGGAAAAACTGAACTAATTTAAAGTAAAAAAAAAAACTTTGCAGTCTCCACATACAGTGTCCCTATAGAAGACCAGATATTTTCATGTCATTTGCTTAAAATGTAGTCCTGGCAGAAATATAAGTCAATGAGCTGTTTCGTATGACCTACTAAAAGCATATGCTATTTTCGGGTATTTTCAGCTGACATCTGCTGTACTGAATAAATTCAGATTGCTTCTTGCTATAAATTGTTTTTCATGAATACCAGTCATACTCTATATGTGTCTTGTCATTGTTTTGCCTTGCCTTGTCTTTTTCTGCAAAAAAAAATGAGTCTGCAATATTGTTTTGAGGAAACAGTACAAATCTTTGGCAATCAATTCTGCTTCTTTTCTGTCAAACTCCCCATATTTATTCCTGCAAAAAATATTTTCCTGTGGATATATGAATATAAATGAAGGATAATTTAGGCTTCAATTAACTTAACAGTTGAGTTTCATAAAGCCAATGACATGTGTCAAGCATGCAGTAGATCCAGGACATGAGTCACTAGCTTTCAATCGTTTGCATAAATTTAAAAAAAAGTCCCTAATTGAGCTTAAAAAAAGAAATTAAAGGTGTCTTAAATTAAACACAGTCATCATTAATCAAAGAAAGAGTCTTTACCTTTATTTTTCAGGGCCCTACCTATAGTAATTCACTTAAGCAAAATATTAGAACATCTGTTTGGACATCTTCAATGCTGTACAAACTCTAAGCTACCTGTGCCACATCCTTCACTTGCTGTATCATTACCTCTGTATCAAGCCTGCTTATTTTAATATGGCATGGCCAGTTAAAGAAGAATGAAAGGGTGTGTCATTTAGGGTTAACCTGTGTCACCAATGCTGAGCCAAGACCAGAGTTTCAAAGGTGGCATTTCTGTGCCCACCAGAATGTGAACAGCATTTCCGATTTGGAGCTTCAGGAACACAAGGAGGAAAGAAATGCAGCCCCTGTGAGACCTGAGAACAACTCATCCTCATTCATGAAACATTCTCCAACATCCTTTCTTCAGTGCCAGAGTTTTTCTCTTCTTGGAAATTCTGGAGACATTAAGTTACTTCCTGCCAAATGAAAAATAGAAAATTGTAGTTAAAAAACAGGAGCCTTGCAACTATTTTTAGTGTGTGTTAAACTGTCTTTTGTAAGGTAACTGTTTCAGCGACATTTCCTTTAATTCTGTTTGACTCCTGGCATCCTTAACCTCCTCCCGCACATGTTGTACATGTACACACATCTATATACATGCCCCAATAATAACAACCTCGTTATTTCAAGTTTAAACCTGAAAGCAATTTGGGAGGTTCAATTTAATTACATTTTACCTAGCAAATCTACTTTCCTTGGCTCTTCAGAAATTTTGAATAGTTTGAATTTAAGTGTAATTAACAGTTAATAAATTATGAACAAACTTGATCACTGAACTTGTGACAGTTTTAAATGTTGTGTGCTTTCATACCAAAGTATAAGGCTTTGTTTTTGCTGTAAAGGTTGTTTTACTGCTATAAATTGTCCCTTACTTGCTTTCCTTGAGAAATTCTCAATGAATTCTTCTTTATACGATTATTTAAAACATATGATCTATTTAAAAAAAATAGAAACTGGTTTTGATGTTCGTGTCTCTCTTTTCTCTTGATCTTGGAAAAAAAATGTTTGGGCTTTTTGCATTGTTTAATGAAACTATTTACTAAGCAATAACATTTCTTAATCTAGATTTTGAGATAATCGCATGTTCTGCATGACTGAAGACTGACTGAAGTTTAAAGGCTCAATCTCTGAAATGCATTGTACAGTGCTTGTATTAGGTATGCAGGTGTTAATACATCTGGTTGGCTAAATGAGGCAGGTGATGTAGCAAATAAGCATATATTAGACATGAACCTGATTTTCAGACTGACTGCAAATCAGAGATAAAGGAAATTGATGTAAATGTGCTTTAACGAACTTTAAGGCACACTCTTTCTGATGTTTCACCATGCAAGCAGGTGCAAACATCTGATTCTGCTGGAAATAGCATGAGAGTCATGGTATAAGCAAGGCCTTCATCATAGAAAT